AACTTAAGCCAGTGACACCCACCTGAGCCTGTCGTCCTCTGCGGAGGGAGGAGCAAGGTGTGACCTTGAGGCCCTGTCCCCTCGCCAGCAAGAATCCTGCCTGCTGTGGGGGTGAGGGCAGGACACGGCCACCTGCCTGGTGGCCACCCAGTCCCCAGCAGGCAGGGGCTGGGCTCCCTGCGCAGGTGCTGGGGTGCAGGCCGAGGCACAGCTGCCCCTGGCCGGGCCAACGCTGTTACTTCCGCTAGCCAGTCCAAGTCCAAGTTCGTCCCCCGCCTGCCGGGGAAGAATGTCGGGCGGGGCTCTGCAGGCTGCTCCCTTGGCCCCGTGCCTGCCCTGCGTGGCTTGGCCAGGGATTCGGTGACCCAGGCCTTGAGCTGGGCGCCGCCCAAGCAGGAACCCCAGGCAGAGACCGGGGTGCCGGTCTGTTTGTGTGGGGTTTTTCTGGACCTCAGGAGAGGCGTGAGGGTTGACATCATGACACCCCTCGGCCCATCCTCGTCTCTGTCAGGGGCCTCCGGGAGCCCCCGCACTTGGCTTATTTTCTTTCTCCGCTGCGCTCATTTCCCCGTGACCCCTCCCAGCCCTGCGGGTCTAATCTGTTCAACGTGTATCTCGGTACTTGGCCGGGCGGATTCTTGCAAAACGTGCGTCGCTGCTTTGTGGGCACGTGGTCCCGGCGTGCCGCGGTGCCGTGGGGTCTAGAGCTCGCCCAGCCCGCCGGGGTTTAGCTGGCTGCTCATCGCCGTGTGTGCGCCTGGGTTGCTGTTGTTTCTTACGCCGGCGGAATAGCCCAGGGCGGGCGCCCGCTCCTGTTTCACCCGTCCTCTTTCGAGCAATGGACACTCCAGCTTCCAGATGCATCCGTGCCCTGCCTGGGGTCCCAGCCCCTGGCCCGCTCCTGTGCGCACATGTGCCCGGGGCGCTCACTCCCCGACAGCCGGCACTCCCACCTCTGTGGGAGGACCGGCCTCAGAGGCTGGGAGGGCCCGCCCCAGGACAGGGTGGAGGGACAGAAGTGCGGGGTGTGACCTGCTCTGTTCCCAGGGTGCTCGTGAGCAGGATGCCGCCCCCTGGCCTGGCCTCCCGCTCCTGGTCCCACTTCCCTGCTCCCTGCCCGGCTTTTCCTGGAACACTTCCTTCATAAATCACTCCTGCAGAGATCCTCGTTTGAGGATTTGCTTCTGAAAAAGCAGAAGAGAAATCCCCGCCAACCACGCACTTGAACATCCGGCCACGAGTTTCCTGGGTAAGGGGGAGCGCTGGGGGGCGCTGCCGGGACGGTCGCCCAGGAGGGATGGTCACCCAGGAGGGACGGTCACCCAGGAGGGACGGTCACCCAGGAGGGATGGTCACCCAGGAGGGATGGTCACCCAGGAGGGATGGTCACCCAGGAGGGACGGTCACCCAGGAGGGATGGTCACCCAGGAGGGATGGTCACCCAGGAGGGACGGTCACCCAGGAGGGACGGTCACCCAGGAGGGACGGTCACCCAGGAGGGACGGTCACCCAGGAGGGACGGTCACCCAGGAGGGATGGTCACCCGGGCGTTCACAGGGGCCCCCACCTGCCCAGCCTGGGAATCGGCCAGCTCTCAGCGCTTGCCACCATCTGGTTGGGTGTACGGTGTCGTCTTGTTGTGGTTTTCATTTGCATTTCTTTGAGCTTCAGGTCGTAAGCCTGGGTTTGGGGACTTCCCTCCTGTCAACCGCCTGTTCTTACCATTTGCTCACTTTCCTGTTGGGGTTTCTGCCTTTTCGGATCAGTAGGAAGTTGGCCTGTGAACATTGCAGACGGCAAGCCCTTGTTGGGTGTGGAGACTGTAGAAATGTCATCCTCCCCTGGAGGGGGCAGTGTGTGTGTGTGTGTGTGTGTGTGTGTGTGTTAATGTGTGTCTCCGTGTGAGCACACAGTGTGTGCGTCTGTGTGCACCTGTAGCCCATTATAAGGGTGGCACAGGGTGAAGACAGGAAGACCACGGGGAGAAGAGAGGAACAGAGAGGGTGGGACACAAAGAAAGGCAAACACAGCGACAGAGAGAGAGAGGGAGGGAGAGAACAATTCAGACAAAAGAGAAGGGGGAGCAGGAGAGAGGCCCGGGCCCTAGCACGAGTGACGCTCTGGAACAGAGGGGTGGAGATCAGATTCCCGAGCTCAGAGGGAGCGACGGGGGAGCCACAATGGCAAGGCTAATAGCCACACCCACGGCCACAGCAATGTGACCCTGAGCTCTACCTGTGGTCAAAGCCTGCGTGTCCCCGTCTGAAGATGTGTCTGCTCAGCTCCCAACCCCGTGGGGTGATCGGGAAGACCCAGCGAGACGTGTGTAAGGTCCCCGGCTCCCTCTCCGGCACGCAGGACGTGCTCTGCTAAACATTAATGGGGAACCCTGCCTGCGCCAGGCAGCGCCCCGAGCACGTAGCGAACGCGCTGCCTTCCGTCGTAACAGCAGGCTGGCGACGTCGGCCTTGGACTGGCTGCACCGCACCAGTATCGGAATCGAGGTTTCAGTGGGGGCTGACGAATGTGCTCAGGGCCAGGTAGGTCACGTGGCTCTTCGCCCTGGAGCCCGAGTCCAGCCCAGGTGGGTGTGAAGCCCTCAGTCCAGCGGTGCCCAGCCTTTATGGCACCAGGGACCAGTTTCATGGAAGCCCATTTTTCCATGGCTGGGGGGCGTGGGGATGGTTTCGGGATGATTCAAGAACACAATGCTCCAAGTACTTTCCCTGTGACGGTCCACCCCCACGAGCCCATTTTACAGATGGGACAACTGAGGTGCGGAGAAGGGAACTGGCTCGTCCGAGGTCACAGGGGAGTTCATGCAAACCCAGGATGCAGACGCAGGTGGCCTGGCTGGGCCCCGGAGTCTGCTGTTCTGCCCGGGCTGTGAGCAGGAACGCGGGCTCAGGACAGGCGGGATGTGTGTTGGGACAGAGGCTCGGGGCAAACCCGTGACTCGGGTCTCCCTCACACTTCAGGGAGAGCCCAGGGGCTAGTGGCAGGCGGGGGCAGGGGACACTGACACACTCAGGATGAGGAGTGAAGGGTGGACAGACGGACATGCCCAGAGGCTGTCAGCGCCACCCTGTGCCAGCCTGGCCCGGCTGCAGCTCAAAGATGGAAAGACGTGGCCTCTGACCCGAAGCTGCTCCCAGCCCAGTGGGGATCCCAGCATGATGTCATCTTTGCAGATGGCGCTGTGTGGAGTGCTCAGCCCTGAGTCTCTGCTCCTCCCCCGGGCTCAGACACCCGGCCACTGCCAACAGGAGGGTGGGGGGTCCTGGGAGTGGGGAGACGCCTGGCGGGCTCTTCCTCCTCTCGGCCTTCCAGCTTCTTAATTTGTCCTTCAAAACTCAGCTCGGATGCCACCTGCCCCAGGAGGCTTTGGAGTCCCAGGCTGGGTGACAGCCCGGCCACTGGGCTTCTCGGGGCAGCCTGGGCTTGTCTCGGCTGCAGTGCAGTCTCCCTGCCTTGCCCCTGGGAGCTCTTTCTGGGAAGGGACCCTGCTAAAGCCATTTCTTCGTCCCTGGTGGCTGCACAGCCCTGCATGGGGAACACGGACAGGGTCCTTTCCTTGTCAAGGACACGCTTGGTGACGGCCATCAAGCTGGGCAGAGTGCAATGGTGTGTAGGAGTCCAGTTTCAGCGGGCGTGGTTCAAACGCCAGCTCTCCCACCCTGCCTGTGCGTGGGCGCAGGTCCTCATCTCGTCCCCCCGAGCCTCCTGGTAGCCCTCGTGGGGTTGAAGTGACGCCGTCTGGACTGAGAGCTCAATGCGTGTCCCCGTTATTGTCGTGAGCCCCGGTCCGGTTTCCTCCCATCACAAGAGGGCTGCTCCAGGGTCCCTGTCTCCCCTCCGTGCTCCTGTGCCACAGGACACCCCGGGGGACCCCTCGGCGGGCATCTCTGGACCGTCCTCCCAGCGTACAGAGTGGGGCGACACCCAAGCTTAAACTCCGAGCCCTGTGAGCCCAGAGCCCTCAGTGGAATTTTCCAAGTGGCTTTTATTTAATAAAAGCAAAAGATGGCTTTTATGTAATAAAATACAGCCTCAAGCCCGTAAGCATCGGTAATGAATTTATGTGCATGAAGGTTGCAGTTATTTATAATGAAGCATCGACTGGCAGTCTCGCCAAGCCGAGACGCCTGATTTGGAGCCTATTTGTCGAGAAGGGGGGAGCTTGTGCAGCAAAGGAAGAGCGCGGACGCCAGGGTGTCAGAGCCCTGGTATCAAATTCTGCTCATCAGCCAGGCACGGGGGGGGGGGGGGGCAGCTGGGCGGGAGCGTAGTCCCTAGGGTTCCTTGAGGGCTTCCTTTGTGCCAGCATCAAGCCAAATGCTCCACATTCTTGATGCCTTTCGTTCCCATATACACTTGTGAAGCGAGTGTTCCCATTTTACTTATGAAAAAACTGAGGCTCAGAGAAGAGAAATCACGTGCCCAAAGCCGCACAGCTGCTAAGCGGCCAAGGCTGGGTTTGAACCGTGCATGTGATGATCACTGCCTCTAAGACCGTACAAGCTTGCCGACTCCTCAAAATCTCCGTTGGAAAAATACCCAATAAGGTGGTTGTGGGGATGGGGTCTGCAGCAAATTCATGGTGCCCAGAGAACGCCTGGTGAGAATGAGGCTCAGTTTCCACATTTCTTAAAACAAGAATCCCCGGGAAGACTCAATGACACAAGGGAAGGAAAGTTCTTGGGACACAGCAGGTGCTCTGGGAAGTTCCTCTTCTGTCTTCTCTGTGCCCGACACTGCCTCGAATGGTGTTTTGGGTCCCACCCTGGCAGCGGATTTGCATCGAGCCATCCACACTCTGTCCTTGGCCACCTTCTTTCCTCCACTCAACCCTGACTCGGGCTGTCATCTTGCGATATGCGGGGGCAGGGGAGCGGCCGGGATGAAAGGTCCAGCAGTCGATCTGGGTGGTCCCCTGCTCCAGGTTCTAGGGCCTCCATCCGGTCCCAGCTGAGTGACAGCTTTTCTGGACTTCGGCTTCCTCCTTTGTAAAATGGGAATAAGGTCGATGGGTCTTATTTCTGGCTCTGAGTCCACTCCACTCTCTGGTTCTTAGACCTGGATCCAACTGCTGCCCTCTTTTTCTTTTCTGCAGGTGGATCCGGCTGAGCACGGGGACTGATTGGCTGAGGACCCACGTTCTTCGGACACCATAACAGGGAACGGTGAGGAACTCTAGTGATCTGAACTCCAAAGGGGACCAGTGACTGCTGAGAGGGTGGGGAACCAGGAGGATGCCAGCAAGACTGTCCCCTGGGTTTTGGAGGCATAGTTGGACCAAGTTCATGGTGCTGGGCATCTCTCCTCCTTTGCACTTGGCAGTATTGCAATTCTCCCACTATTTAAGGGACTTTTTGATGAATAATTGTCTCCCACACTAGACTGTAGGGGAGGAAGGATCCCATAGAGACAGAAAACATGTTGTCAAGAGGGTAGACTCTGAAGCTTAGATTTTGAATCACAGCTCTGTCTTTTCTTTGCATGACTTTGGGCAAGTGACTTGAGCTCTCTGTGCCTCAGTTTCCTCATCTGTAAGATGGAGTTTGTAAATTGCCTACCTCACTGGGTGGTGGCAAGGATTAAGAGAGTTTATATATGCCATGTTGGAACAGTGCCTGGCACGTAGGAGGTGCTGGACGGGTTTTTGTTAAATAAATAAAACAGCAAAGCAGGTAAATGCTTAAATCTCAAAACTGGGCTTGCTCAGAGTCAGGGAGGTTGTTGCTGGTCTTGCTAATGTTGGTCAAAGTCTTGAAGCCGGTTCCAATCCAAGGTTTCCTAACGGCCCTGTCTCCCACTGCAGAGGATGGAGGATGGAGATTACAACACCTCCGCCCTCTACTACCCCGATGACTTCGAAAACTACCCCGATGACTTCGACTCGATCGTGGTGTTGGAGGAGGCGTCCCCCCTGGGAGCCAGGGCGGCCAGGATCTTCCTGGTGGTGCTCTACAGCCTGGTCTGCTTCCTCGGGGTTCTGGGCAACGGTCTGGTGATCGTCATCGCCACCTTCAAGATGAAAAAGACAGTGAACACCGTCTGGTTCCTTAACCTGGCGGTGGCGGACTTCCTGTTCAACGTCTTCCTCCCGATCCACATTGCCTACGCCGCCATGGACTACCACTGGGTTTTCGGGACGGCCATGTGCAAGATCAGCAACTTCCTGCTCATCCACAACATGTACACCAGCGTCTTCCTGCTGACCGCCATCAGCTTCGACCGCTGCGTCTCTGTGCTGCTCCCCGTCTGGTCCCAGAACCACCGCAGCGTCCGGCTGGCCTACGCGGCCTGCGTGGCCGTCTGGGTCCTGGCCTTCTTCTTGAGTTCACCGTCCCTCGTGTTCCGGGACACGGCCAATGTGCACGGGAAAACGTCCTGCTTCAACAACTTCAGCCTGGCCGCGGCCGGGCCTTCCCCGGGACCCACTCGCCCCCAGCTGGACTCTGTGGGGTACAGCCGGCACATGGTGGTGACCGTCACCCGCTTCCTCTGCGGCTTCCTGGTCCCGGTCCTCATCATCACCGCCTGCTACCTCACCATCGTCTGCAAGCTGCGGCGCAACCGCCTGGCCAAGACCAAGAAGCCCTTCAAGATCATCGTGACCATCATCATCACCTTCTTCCTCTGCTGGTGCCCCTACCACACACTCTACCTCCTGGAGCTCCACCACACCGCCATGCCTGGCTCCGTCTTCAGCCTGGGGCTGCCCCTGGCCACGGCCATTGCCATTGCCAACAGCTGCATGAACCCCATTCTGTATGTCTTCATGGGTCAGGACTTCAAGAAGTTCAAGGTGGCCCTCTTCTCCCGCCTCGTCAACGCTCTGAGTGAGGACACAGGTCACTCTTCCTACCCCAGCCATAGAAGCTTTACCCGGATGTCGTCAATGAATGACAGGAGTTCCATGAACGAGAGGGAGACCAACATGCTCTGAGCCTCACCTGGGAGCCCCCAGGGGACACTGCCAACCCCAGGACACCCAAGGACATGTCTTCTGACGACCAGGCCAAGAACCTCTTTAGCACCCACCGATGTCCTATGCATGGGGCGAGCAGTGCTTTGAGCTGGGAATCCAGGGTCAGGAGCCTTTCCTGCAAGTGGCACAGTGGACGGAGCCTTCCCTGGTGCTCACAGCCTTGAACTGGCTACCCATGCCTCTTGGAAGACCCACCTGCACCCACTGAAAGTGAGAAAGGAAGAATTCTCAAAAGGGCCGCCGTGAACGGGGGTTGGCATACAGTGGCAGGATTCAGCTCCTGACTGTGCACGCCAACGGTGGACACACGCATTGTGTAAGATCCGCGCCTGGTGGGCCCAGGAGAGGAAAGAGCAAACCCAGTATCCCGCAGATCACACCTGGCCTCACACACCTGTGTCAATAAATAGCCGCCCAGAAAATCCCGCCCTTGCGCCGCTCTTCCGGGTTAAGGCATGTGCAAACGCACAGGTGACCCGGAAGGGGAAGGCGACCCCATAGCCCATGAACTACCAAGACCGCGGGTTTAGCTTTCAGATCAGCTGGGGAGACAGCAAGCAGGCCCTGAGCGGCCATGTGGGCTCCTTGCAAGGGCGGGACAGTGGGGGTGCAGGGAGGACTTGAGGGAAGGAAGAAGAGTCTTCGCAGGATGCGGGCACGAACAGCTCACCCTAGAGCATCGCGGGCTGATGGCTATTTGCAGGGTGTGGGTGGTGCCGGTCCCTGATCTCGCCTTGCCTTCATTACCTGGGGTGGGGGGAGTTGTGGTGGGCGGGGGTTCTTCCCTCCTTCCCTAATCCACTCAGCCCTGGCTGGAGGCGCTTAGAGAGAAACACGGGGTGCTGGGGGGCGGGGTGGGGGCGGGGCTTCTCCTTTTCTTCAATTTCCTCCAAGCCTTGCTGGAGACTGCTCGTAGGTGTAGCTTCTTGGGGAAGCAACTTGGAGCATCTCCCAGGATGAAGAGTGTGTGCAAGGACTCAGTCGCCCAGCTCAAAACAGAGCCTGGACCCTCCGTCCTTGAGCTGGGCTCCCGAGATGCCACCACCATGCTGCATGGCTTTCCTCATCTGACACCGACACCTGCCTGCTGCAGACAGCATCATTTCCCAGTGACACAGCCGGGCTCAGAGGAGGGACGCGCCCTGCCCGACACCAGCCAGCTACTCAGTGGCAGAGTTCAGACCCGAACCTGGCTTTGCCTGGCTGCAGAGGCTCTATTCTTTCATTGAGAATGTACCCATCGAGACTATTCCAGACTATAACGCTAGCCTACATTTATCCAGCACTTCCCATGTTAAGCGCTTTCCATGCGTTTTCTTATTTATTCCTCACAGCAATCCCGAGTTAGGTACAGTTATTACTTCCCTTTCACAGAGGAGGAATCTGAGATCAGAGAGGTTAAGTAACTCGCCCAGGGCCACCCAGCTAGCCTCTGCCGGGGCCTGGATTTGAATCTCAGTTTGGCTCAAAGGAGGCTGCAGAGTCAGGAAGGAACCAGACAGGGCGGGGGTGTGGACCATAACTATTGATTCTTCTGTGGACGAATGTGAACGTCTTCATGGCCTTTAAGAAGCTTTGCAAATATTTTCAAAAATGACTCAGCATGGCAAAGAAAACACACACGGATTCCAGCCATCAACACCCAGCCCAGCCACGGCTCCCACCTCTTGTGTCCCCTGAGGTCCCCAAAGAGGGCAGTGGGGACAGAGGCCTGGCAGGAGGCAGATGCTTGTGAGCCCGAGGCCCTTCGGCCCCTAAGTGTCCACATCTTGTTCCTTCCAAGTCCCCGGCGTTGCTAAGCTGATCCTCATACAGGATGCAGTAAACAGACATAATGTCCCCCCCACCCCAGCTGGGCGAGTCCCCGAGGCCACGGGCTGTTTGGAACGGCACTTCATTAAGAGACAAACTGTTCCTTCCCTCCTGCGTCTTTTTTTTTTTTAAATCTTTGTATATATATATTTTTTAATTTCAAAATATTAAAGTGGTACAGGTGTTTTTGATACATGGCTTGAGTCAGGGCTGTAAATGTGCCCATCGCCTAAATAGTGGTCATTGCACCTGCCAGGTGGGTTTTTGCCCCTTTCCTCCTCCCCCCACCCCCACCCCGCTTGATTTCCTATGACTTTTATTTCCCTCTGTGCACTTCTGTGCCCGTCGGTTAGTTCCAGCTTGTTAGGGAGTGCATGTGGTGTTTGTTATTCCATTCTTGAGATACTTCACTTAGGATAATGGTCTCCAGTTCCTCCCAAATTGCTGCAAAAGGCATTAATTCATCCTTTTTATGGCTGAGTCATACTCCACGGTACACACACACCACATTCTGTTCATCCACTCATGGATCGATGGGCACTTCCGTTGATTCCACATCTTCGTGATTGACTTGTGCTGCAATGTGTGGTGGCCGGGCGCGGTGGCTCACGCCTGCGGTACCAGCACTCTGGGAGGCCGAGGCAGGAGGATTGCTTGAGCTCAGGAGTTCGAGACCCTTCTTAAGTCTTAATGTGTACGATAGGGCAGCTCTGAACTGACCCCCAGCTGGGGCCTCTGACTGCTTCCAGGAGTCTGAGTGTGGACAGTTTGAGAGCAAAAAGGGAGCTTTAAATGTTTTCTCCTCCCCAAGTTTACAAAGGAAGCAACTGAGGCACAGGATGGTGTGGGATTTGCCCAGGTCGCAGAGGCGGTCACCAGGGACTTGGGCCGCCTGTCTCCCGGGGTGGGGCTCCTCCTGGCTGCGGGCCAGGCCAGGCCAGGCTGGGGGAGCCGGGGATTCATGCAATCACTGGAAAAGCTGATGAACAGGGACCAAATTCAAACCGGCTGTTTCCCTCCTTAAAGTCGGGCCCCCCTCGTTCTGGTGGCTCACTGGTCTTCCTGCTTTCACTGTGGGTTGCTGCCAAGGACTAACATGCAACCGTGGCACCCTCTGGAGTCTTGTCCCAGTGAGCAGCCCCCCCCCCCGGGTGGCACATAGAGTCCCCGCAGTCGGCAAAGTGTGCCCCCTGCGTCACTGCGCAGGCAGTCACACACCCAGTGCCACAGCCTTCCCTCAGGGCCCCGGACCCAGCGACGGAGACCTCGTGCTGCCTCCTGGGTGGCGTGGGTGGGTGAGGGGGCACAGGGACACGAGCCAGAGAGACAGGAAGAGAAGATGGTGTGTGAGGACAAGGAAGGGGCAGAAGAGGGAGCAGAAAGGAGCGGGAGGATGACAGTTCAGGAAAAAGATCTGGCATTTATTAAGCATCTGCCATGTGCTGGGCACAGACATCAAAACCTCAGAGTGGCCCTGTGGGAAGAGGACTGTCACAGCCAGGGGGCTGATGCAGAAGGTGAGGGCGGAAGAACAGATTTCACTCATCCAGGGTCACGCAGCTAGCAAGCGATGGAGCTGGACGTTGAACCAGGTTGGCTGGCTGAGTCCCTGGCTTCTGTAGCCCTTGGAAGCAAGGAAGGAGGAGAGAGAGAGGAGGAGGAAGAAGAGGACGAAGGAGAAGAGGACAAGAGAGGGTACACCAGGAAAGTGGAAGGCAAAAAAAGAGAGGAGGAATCGGTCTCAGAATCATCTCCAGCTGACCTTGAACCAGCAAGGGCAGGGAGCGGGGAAGAGGAGGGACATGGAGGACCCCTGGCGACTCGATCCCTCCTGCCAACCTCGACGAGCTCCTTTGGGGCCCACGGCTAGATAACTCCCAGGGCACACAGAGCGGCTGCAAGCCCTGGGGCTCCCTCTCCAGAGAGGAGACACAGAGATTCTGGTAACGAGGCTCCAAAGGGGTGATGAAGCCAGCATTGGCCAAGAGCGGAGCTTGGCTCAAATCTGACTCCAGAGTTAGCTCGGGTGGGATTAGGCACCACGACGGGTGGGAGAAGATCACGTCCAATAGTGAGAACCACAAGGGACCTTCAAACTCACCTTGTCCAGGCCTTTTCCGTTTTACGGTGGAGGGGAGTGCGGTTTTGAGCGCTGCCCTTGGAGAAATCTGCAAAGCAGGGTGGTGGTCGGCGGGGGTGGAAGTGGCCAGCGATCCCTCGACTCCTCCTTAACCTGTTCTGCTCTTGCTGGAGTCGGGGTGCCCCGGGCCTGTGGTCACCAAACCCTGGACTTGGGAACTTGCTGCTGGGGGTGGTACCCAGGACCAGGGAGGAATCAGAAAGCTACTCTGCTACTGGGAAATAACTCGGCAGGGGCCCACTGCTTCCTCCCTTTGAAGACAAAATTGCTCTTGAATAAAGGGACGGAAGCAAGAGTGTGTGGCTCGCTTCTGGAGGTCCCCATCACACTCACCTGCCCCCTGTCCTCCCCATCCACCTTGCAGAGGCTCGGGGAGATGAAGCAACCTATTTAAAGTCACAGAGCACTATTGTGAGACAGCAGGAAAAGCCCTGTAATTCCCAACCTCCCATTCCCAAACTTGAACATCAAGAAATGTACATTTTGAAAAAATTTCTCTCCACTTATTTTCCTAGCAAAGAAGGATACAAAAGGGGTAGTGACTCACCCAAGATAATACAGCAAGCCGTAGCAGATAAGGGACACCAACTCAGGTTCCACACTCCCAAGTCCATGCTCTTCTTGGGCACTGCATCAGGTCACTCAAGGACAGATGTTCCCATCTACACATTAATCCATCCATTTTTTTCACTCACCTATTCACTCACCCAGCCACCTACCCATCCACCCACCCATGCACCTCAACATCCATTCAACCATTCATCTCAGCATCCACTCACCCATCCACCCACCCATGCACCTACCCATCCACTGACCCATCTTTCCACCCATCCACTCACCCATCCGCCCACCCATCCACCCACCCATGCACCTACCCATCCACTGACCCATCCACCCACCCATACACCTACTCATCCACTCACCCATCTACCCACCCATCCACCCACCCATGCACCCACCCATCCACTGACCCATCCTTCCACCCATCCACTCACCCATCCACCCACCCATCCACCCACCCATGCACCTACCCATCCACTGACCCATCCCTCCACCCATCCACTCACCCATCCGCCCACCCATCCACCCACCCATGCACCCACCCATGCACCCACCCATGCACCCACCCATCCACCCACACATGTACCCACCCATCCACACCTCCCATGCACCTCAACATCCATCCAACCATTCATCTCAGCATCCACCCACCCATCCACCCCCCATCCACCCCCCCATCCACCCACCCATCCACTCATCCATCCACACCTCCCACACACCCACCCATGCACCCACCCATCCACCCACCCATCCACCCACCCATCCACCCACCCATCCACACCTCCCATGCACCTCAACATCCATCCAACCATTCATCTCAGCATCCATCCACCCATCCACCCATCCAGCATTCGGTACATAGCCATCTATCTATCTGCCCATTCATCCATTCCATAAAAATGTGTTCAAGACCTACTCTCTGCCAGGTCCTGTGGCAGGCACTGAGGACACAGGAATGATCAAGACAGACACAGTCTCTGTCCTCATGAGCTCACTCATGGGCTGGTGGGAAAGACTGTCAATAATAAAAAGTGTGTCCCCTCCATGGGAAACAACTGCAGGGAGTGTCACGCACATGTTATAGAGGGACCCTGATCAAAGACCAAGGGACCTTCCTCGGGGACGAGGCACTTGAGCCCTGACGTGAAGGAGGGGTAGGCACTGCCTTGGTGGGAGATGTGGGAGGAGGGGCTGCGGGTGGGGGCAGCACAGGATCACAGAGACGGGAAGGGGGCGGGGGCTGCTGTGGGACCAGATGTGGGGGGAGCAGGGTCGGCTAGGAAGGGCAGGAGGAGGGTTGGAGGCTGCAGCAGCCTCGGACGCAGTTCCAGCCATGGCAGAGGCAGCAAAGGTAGAGTTCGAGAGAAGTGCACTGTCTGAGAGCTGTTTAAAAGCTACGAGAGCTTTCTCAGGGGAGCGGTTAGTGGGAAACCAACCCAGGGCCCATTTCTGCTGCACAGAGGCCTTGGCGCATTGCTTTATTGACGGAAATTAATTGTAAATATTATTCAAATTTACCTCCCAATGCAGGATTATATTTCTCAAGGGAGCCCTCTGAGCACATAATAAAGCCCTATAAATAATACATATATTAACCTAAGAGGAACGCAGGCATATTAATGCTGCAGTGGCGGGTGGCGGCTGCAGGGAATTCACACAGATACTATGACACGTGCTTGGACTTGGGGTTCAGCCTTGGAGGTCACCTGAGTTCTGCCCTTGGGGCATCTTCTAGAAGTCTCTCTCTCTGGGATTTGGAGATACCCCTAGACACGTCAACCAGGTACTGCTCTAGATGCTTGGTCAACAGGCAGGCAGGGGCAAGGTGACAGCTGGAAAGGGAAGAAAGCAGCATAGGTCTATAGAACATGTACTTTGTGCTCAAGGCTTCAACAACAACAACAGCAGCAGCGTAGTAGTGGCACTTGTGGCAGCTGGTATTAACGGAGCGTGTCCAAGTTGTGAGCGAGCACATTTAGTTTCATTATCTCATCGACTCCTTGCAACAACCTTTGCAGTAGGGGCTATTGCTGTCTCCATATACAGATGAAGAAATTGAGGTTCAGAGAGGGGAAGCAACTTGCCCGATGCCACACAGCTAGTAGGGGACAGAGCTGGGATTCAAACCTCAGTATCTTCTTGTTGAAAACTTTGCTGTTTGACCCAGCATTTTGCAAATGCAAATGTGTCCCCCAGAGAGACTCTTCCCTGGAGAGAGGAGGACAAGCAAAATACTCTCTCTCCAAGTGGGAGCCGGAGAGTTCTAGGGGTTGCTTTCTCCTTGGGAGGGAGAAAATAGTGTCCGGATGGGCCTGTCACTTCCTCTCGGCCCTGGGAATCTTGGGATGTCTGAGTTTGGAAGGGCCTCTGCTTCATCAAGTTTATCCCTCCCCGTCACTCCATGTCACGGCAGAGGTCTCTTTGCAAATCAGCTTGAGACCACCTGCCTCACTGACTGCTGTGAGACGAGAAAGGTGTGAAGACGCCCATGCGAGTCGCTTCTGTAAAGCACCATCATCCCGGAGACATAGGCATTCACCAACCCACCCTCTGCACTTCATAGTTTGTTGACCAGGGCTTTGGTGCTGACCTGCCCTGCCCTGGAGGCCCCTTGCCCAGGATCTGGGAGCCACTGAGGAGTTTCCAGCGGAAACCTGGAATCCTGGGGGTGGAGTGTGGGGGGTGTTTTTACATGTAAACACCTACTTATCTGTACATCTAAGATTAATACACTTCATTGTAGTAAGTTATGCCTCTTTTTAAAAAAATATAATAATTCATGGTGTCTGCAGGTGACTTTCCATGCCCTCTGCTACCCGGGACAGGTGGTGGCAGGATGGAACCAGGTCTGGGGGCTTGTGTCTGATCCAGGAGAGCAACTTAGAGGGAGGTGGTCCCTGCAGGTCCCTAAGGAGCACAGTCTTAGGAAGGGTTCCCACAGCCTCACCACCCAACTCAACAGGCCTCGGATGGTTGTGACACAGGATCAGATAGGCTCAAGAATCAGATTTCCTGGGCTGGAACCCCAGCTCCACTGTTTATATCAGCTGGGGTCAGGGTTAGGATTGGGCTCTATGACCTTGGGCAAGCTATTCAACACCTCCAAAACCTCAGTTTTCTCATCTGTAAAATGGGCATGCTAAGGATTGGAACAGGGTTGCTGCGAGGATTCAGTGACATGCCGCACATTGGCAGGAAATATCAGCAGGTGCTGGGTCCTCACGCACCACCAGCTTTCATCTGAGCGTGCATCAGCCTCCTCGCTGGTCTCCCCACTTGCCTCTTTGCTCTCACGATTGCTACTGTCCGGGAAGCAGCCAGAGTGAGCTTCTGTCAGCAGAATATACTGATCCAAACCCCGTGCATTGGCATTTACAGGCCTATAGCATCTAAAGGAGTCGCTGCTTCCTTCTCCAATTGCATCTCAGGCTGCCCTCCGGCTGCATGATATTTTTCTGTCTCTCAAAATCAAAACAAAACAGATAAACAACAATACATGCAAGATTGTTCCTACCTGAGGCCTTCGCTGTTTGTCTGAGCCCTTGTTTTGTTTTCTTTATAATATCTACTGCCACCAGAAATCATTTATTTATGTATTTAGCTGCCTTACGTCTGGGCCCGCTAGAGGGCAGGGGCCATGTCCACCTTGCCCACTGCTATATTCCCAGCACCCAGAGCAGTGCTTGGCCCAGAAAAGTAGCTCGCCACTTTCTGTTGAATGAATGAAGAAATAACCATAAGCTGACATGATTTTTATCACCACCATCATTGAGTTTGATGATGATCACTATTATACCATTTCCCAAGTATTTTCATTTTTTTTTTTATAACTTGATGAAACTTGAGGAGAGTGGGAATATTCCCCCATTTCACAGACAGAGAAACTGAGGCTCCAGGCCACTTAGCTCGGAAGCGGAGGAGCCACGGTTCTTTCCTTGCGCCACTGGGAGACAATCACAGGCAAAGGAGGTTTCCATTAAGTGCTTCTGTCTCCGTCAGCCTCTTCCTTTCCCCGTTGTCTGATTTATTGCAGCCTGAAAAGAAAGGAACCAGATGCCTCCCCCGCCCTCCTGTTGTTTTGTAGTTCTTTTCCGGACCAAGACTCTGTTAAGGGTTTGGCTGGTACGACCGTGACCACAAACTTCCTGTGTTTATCCCTCCACTTGGAAAACGTGGAGGGAGCGACCGTCTGGGCAGAAGGTCTGCGTTGGGCACTGCGTGAAACTGGGACCCAAATGCACAGCCAGTTACCTGGGAGTCCCCTGGAGCCCGGATGCCTGACACGAGAGGCAGACCCAGGACGCTAAGTGTCCCGGTTTCCACCTTGCAGATGTTTGACATCCTCGGAACAAGCATCTGGATGACTGGATGCGTTTCCGGTTTGCTTCCAGATGATGGCGCCGTGGAGCAAGGACGCACAGCAGGTGGCAAAGGGGGCTCTAGGCTTGGCTGGTAGCTGATGATACCTGCGAGCCCCTGGCTGAGGGTGGGCAGTCTACAATGCCCAGGCACCAGTGCCTTACTGGGACGGATTGACATGTGATGGGATTTCAGGCGTGGTGACAAGTGGCCAGTGGCAACTCCGTATCAGCCATCCTATTTTACCTTCTTTAGAAGCCCTGATGGTAAAATCACCTTGGCTTTGGGAATGAAGAAGGTGGAGCTCAGAGGAGGCAAGGGAATGTCCCAGAACCACGCCGATATCCGTCCATTGGTTTGTATCGGTGGGCAGACACCACTTCCAGGAATCCCACCATGCGCTGGCACGCAGCAGAGCTAGGATTGGAACCCGCGACTATATAACTTTGTGGCTTATACTTTTTCACTACATACCCTTCCTGAGTCAAATACATTCCATACAGAGGAACGAGTACAGAAAAGAGGGAAAGGCTTCCTGTTATAAAGTCTTGAACTTCTCAGGAGTTAGAGAAGACTCACAACCTTGCTGGAAATTGCTGGGTTGAGACTGATTCTGGGTTCCAGGAGGCACCTGTGAGGAACTGCTCTCCCATCCCTGAGTTCTCAAAAGAGGATCCAACTGCTCTGTCCCTCCTTTGAGTGAGCGGCAGGAGTTGACGCTGCTTAAACCAAGGGAGTCGTGTGCTAAAGGTGGAATTGCAGGAACTGAGGCAGGTTGAAGGAAAAAGAAATAGGGAGTTGCAGGGTTTGCAGGGTTGGGAAAACTCCCTGGTTTCCTGGTCCCACAGGGAGTATTGGTTTATACCACAGGGAGTATTGGTTTATACCACAGGGAGTATTGGTTTATACCACAGGGAGTATTGGTTTATACCACAGGTTGGTTTATACCACAGGGAGTATTGGTTTATACCACAGGGAGTATTGGTTTATACCACAGGGAGTATTGGTTTATACCACAGGGAGTATTGGTTTTTTGGCTCCTTAGACTCTGAAAGGTCACTGCTTTTGATTCCTGGATTTCTTGGGCGTGTCACCCTCTTATAAGCTTCAGCCTGGTCCTGCAGCCACAGAATCTTCATGGGTATAGATAGATCTATTTAAATAGCTGGTTCAATGTTGAGATGTCAAGAGAGGGAAAGGCCCTTAGACCTTTCTAGGTCATTCTAGTCAAGCTCCTCCCGGGATCCCTGATGGGAAATTAGTCCCACAATCCATTAGCAGTGAGCTAAGACAAGAACTCAAATGAGCCCACACCCGGCTCCTCTGCTTCCAGCTCCAGGATGTGATCTTCCATCCCATTCAGCGTGCTCAGTCTTTTTCTCGCATTTTTGTTCAGACATGTCAGTCCATGTAAGGTTGAGAAGCAGAGAAAAAAGAAAATCAGCACATCTTAAAAGGCTGGGAGCATAAATGACTTGAATAAAAGTCCCAATAACCCGTGCTAGTTAACGTGTATCTTTGGACTCACAGTTTGAAATAAGATGAGCAAAGTTTAAAATAAATAAGATCATATCAGTTAGGATGCATTGGGCTGCAAGTAACAGAAACCTCAAGTGGAAATGGCTGAATCTACAAGGAAATTCCTTTGCACACTAAGATTGCCTGGAGGTTGGGAATTCAGCTGCTGAATGTTGGCATCAAGGAGCCAGAGTGTCCCCTTCTCTCTCCTTTGTCATCTGAAGAGGAAAGGCTTTGTCTCCAAGGTGACATCTTTCCTGGCCATAAAGATGGCTTCCATAGTATTCACATCACAGCTGCCCATGGCATCCAGTAGAAGAGAGATTGTTTCTTTCAGAATGTTGCCAGGGAACATCTCCCAGAAGCCCCCAGTAGAACTCCCCTTGCACCTGTTTGGCCAGAATTGGGTCACATGGCTACTGTTAAACCTATCACTGATGAGAAAAGAGATTGGCTTGGACAGATCAGGATCCACCCAGGGGGCACGTGGGAGAGGAGTGGACATTCAGACGAGATCAGGGTTCTATTTGCAAGGAAGAAGGGGATGGGGTCTCCTACAGAGAAGACAAGAGGCGCTCTAAAAAATAATGACCAACCCGTTCAGCCTGCAGATTTGCCTTATTATGATGAAACATAAATTCTCAGACCTGAGCAAAATTACAGTGGGAGGTGGGGTGGGTATGACCACTAAAATATTAAGAAGGAGAATTTATTTCTTAGAAAATCAAGATGATTTGCCCCCTAAGAGTAATGATTTTCCCTTTTCTTTATATTAAGTATTTTACCATTTTCGGCAAAAAGTATTATAATATATAAGCCAGCAAAGGTAAAAAAAAAAAAAAAAAAAGAAAGAAAAAGAAAAATTAAAGGAAAACTACTTAGGAACTCAAAGATCAGCCAGGGATAAGCCTTATTACATTATCATTTTTGCTTATAATTTACAGTCTAGCCTATGTGTCTGTATCTTTTAATATCTCTCCATTCTGTTCTATAACATTTTTATTCATTTTTTAAAAAAAAAATCCGGTCACCAAATGTTCCTCTATACAGCCTTGGTAATTCAAGTGATTGACTAGTAGACCTAGTAGAAGTGCTGCAATTTATCTAGCCAACCCCCTACTGATGGACACTTAGGTCATTTCCTTTACAGAAAGATATTATTATTACTATTCCTTGATGGATGCTGCAGTACAGTTGAGCTTCTGAGTCACCCCACTTAAGCCCTGGGAAGTTAGCAAAGGCAACTAACCTGAGCTTTCTGTCTGGTAAACCGGCCTCTGGGTCCCTCCCTCACCCTTGAAGCAGAGGGAAGAGCTCTTTGGAAGCTTTAAGAAGAGGTCAGCCAGCTCAGGAAGGCAGGGATGGTACACAGGCACAGACTGGAATCAGGCCAATCTGACTGCACAAATAACTTTCACTTGCTGAGCCTTGGTTTCCCCATTTGTAAGACTGGGAGTGTAGTAAACACACCTTGTAAGTTTGCGTGAGGATTCAGCAAAAATAACCCATGTATAGAATTTATCACAGTGCCTGGAAAATATTATATGCTTAAAAAGTTGCTAGCTGTTGCTATTGTAATGTTTTATTATTTCTTCTTTTTCTTCTTTTTTATTTTTTAGACTGGAACTACAAGACTGTATTTGCCTTGCTATCTCTGGGGGGCCATATCTAATCCAGGCCATTGATTCAGGAGGCTGCACAAATCTGCCTAAATTATGTATTGGGGTTGCATGTTTAATGCTTGCTACAACTTAGGTGTGTGAAGAAAATGTAATTTCTTTGTCTACAGCTGATCTGGTCTCCCATGCCCTCCCCCCATGTAGGCAGAAAACAAAACAAAACATAAAAAATTAGGCTTTGCCTCTGTTATGGGTTGAATTGTTGCCCCCTCCTCAAATTTAAATGTCAACATCCTACCCCAGTAGCTCAGTACGTGACCTTCTATAGAGAGAGGGTCTTACAGAGGGAACTGAGTTAAAATGAGGTCGTTAGGGTGGGCCCTACTCCAATATGACTGGTGTCTTTATAAGAAGAGGAAAATTTGGGCACAGACAGATACAGAGGGAAGAGGATGTGAAGAGACACAGGGAGAAGGTGGCTGCTTGTAAGCTTAGGAGAGAGACTCAGAACAGATCCTTCCCTTGCAGTCTTCAGAAGGAACCAGTCCTGCCAACTTCTTGATCTTGGACTTCTAGCCTCCAGAACTGTGAGACAATAACTTTCCATGGCAACCCTAGCAAACGAATATAATCCTGTTTTAAAATTTTAGTCCAAACGATGGTTTTATAGGTTCCTGCAGTAAACCTCCTCTAGATAAGCATGTTCATACTCTCTGAGGCTCTGCCTTCCCCTGATTTTCTCCTGGGGAGGTTTGGGCATGGTTTGATCATCCCGGGGGAGTGTGGAGGAGGAAGGAGAAACCAGGGACCTCTGTTCTCCCCAGTGCTACTTTCCCTGCTGTGTGTGGAATGTGGCAGATGAAGGGATCTTGCTCGGGGCTCAGCTAACAAGTTTCCCCTGGGCTGCCCCACATATAAACCCCAGTGCCCCTGAATTTTTCTTCTGTCTTAGTCCATTTTTTGTTGCTACAATAGAATCTCCAAGACTGAGTAATTTATAATGAATACAAATTCATTTAGCTCATGATTCTGGAGGCTGGGAAGTCCAAGAACATGGTGCCAGCATCTGGCAAGGTCAGAAGGAAGTGTGGAAAGGTGGGTGTGAACACAAGAGACAGAGTGAGGCACAGGGGCTGGACTGGCTTTATGACCCACTCTTGAGATAACTAACTCCCTCCAGTGGTATGGACATTAACCCATTTGTGAAAGCTCTGTCCCCATGACCCAGTCACTTCTTATTAGTCTCCACATCCCAACACGGTTGCAGTGGGGACTAAATGTCCAACACATGAACTTTTGGGGGACACATTCAAGCCATAGCACCATCTACCCAACTTCAACTGGGATGAAGCATCCCAACTTTCCTGAAGGTCACCCAGCCCTGCCCATGGCTGCCCTGCTGACTGCCAACCCCACATCCATGCCATGTGAGAACTGAGGGGGACTGAGAAAGCCAGGGAGGTGGCACTGTGACCTATAGAGCCCCTCCTGCCCTTGGTGCACCTGGAGCAAAGCTGAGAGAGGGAAACCCAATCGGGCACAACTGGCCAGTTCGTGTCCACTCTCCTGCTCCTGAATCCCTCTCTCCTCCTCCTCCCCTTGCCCCTGGCTCTACAAGAGTGGCAGCTTCTCTTTCCCTCTCCCTTTGTTATATTCTCTGATCATCTGGGGGTAAGCTTTGGAGCTACAGATGGAAGGTGGTTGGCTTCTCACTCTGGCAGAATCCGGGAGCCAGGTCTTATAGGCTCAGCCTCCATGTGTTAAAGAAAGAGAATAAAATAGGTTGGAAAATCCTCCCTCAAGACAATAGACTGACTTTAGTTGATAGCCTTGCTGCACAATCCTATTTTGCACGTCAGAAACAGAATAGCACATCATTCTTCCTCTTATATAACAGTCTGTTTTCCACACAGGCACATGGCCTCTTGAGACCAACTGGACAAAGATCATGTACTCAAAACACTAGCCGTAAGAGGTCCCTCATAATTTCCAGAAGAGTCATCAGATACAATTATTATTTTTTATTTTTTACTCCTACTGCTTTTCCCAACAGGCTTTGGATCTTAAACACTGGAATAAAAAAAGTCATAACGATCACTGTTAAGATCATTATTAACAACCCTTCAATCATCATGAAGATTCATTTCACCTTTCACTGAGGAGGAATGGAGGCTCAGAGAGGTGGTGTTGCCTGCCCAAGGCGGCCCAGCTGGCGAAATGACACAAAGGTGAGAGCTGGCCCCAGCTGTGTCTGAATTCCAGATGTTGGTTATCACACCCAAACTTCATCCCTGGAGGGTCTGGAGTCGCTGTACTCAGGCTCCTGTGCACAGTGACACACGGTTCTCCTGTTCACTTGGGTGGGGTTGCTTACTGGATTTCCGAGAACCTGGGGATCGGCCAGCGACGGGGTTGGAAAAGCTCCCTGGAAAGGCTAGTGCCTCCTGCGATCCCCTAAGGTTCTTAATGGATTTGTAATAGGATTAGTGTTGCCTGGAATCCTGGGTGTCTGTGCTCTCTGGGTCCCCTGGGTCTGAGGGCTGCCAGGAATTGGAAACCCATCCCAGGGCCTTTGGAGACTAGGAGAACAGATGCTCGAGTTTCCCCCCAAATGTTCCATGTGTGGTGCTGTTGGCAGCGGGTCTCCAGAAACAACTTTCTGCCTTACCCAGGGCTCCCCCTGCCTGACTTCCCTGCACTCCAAATGTTCAGTGGGGCAGGCATGATGGGCCCCATTTTTAAAGAGGAGCAAACAGGTGCTCAGAGAGGTCAAGTCATGTGCCCAAACAACACAGCTAAGGAATGGCAGTGCCCAGGGCACTGGCTGCCAGGCTACTGTCCTCAGCACCGAACTCGCTGATCCTGGGAAAGTGTGGCCTTCACACTTCGTGCCTCAGTTTTCTCATCTGCAAAATGGAGAGGTAGGACAGGGTCTGACATGGAATGTTAGACCAGGAGGCGAGAGACTTGTGTTTGAGTCCTAGTTCTGTCCCGGGGTCTCTATGCAACCTTGGGGAGGTCACTTTCCCTCTCTGGGTCTCAGTCTTCCCTGGGAAGGGGAAGGAGATGGGTTTTGACAAGAGCATAGTTGTCAGAAGTTAGCATATGACAATCCCTACTGTGTGCCGGGTCCTCTCCTTGAGACACGCATGGCTTTGCTCCATCCTCCCCACACCCTGGCAGGCAGGCATGTGGTGCAGGTTTCACAGATGGTGTGTTTCCAGAGACTTGCCCTTGGCCGGACAGCCTCTTAGGACCCTTTGAGCTCCGACATTCCAAGACTCCAGGGAGACGGTCAAATCCTGCCTCTGCCACTTCCTGGTCGTGTGATGTTATTATGGACAAGTTGCTTCACCACTCAGAGCCTCAGTTCTTTCATCTGCAAAATGGGTCTGATGGTGCCCACTTCGTGGAGCTGCAGAAACAATCAGATGATATACTACAGGTCCACTCTCTGGCACATTTTGTCTTCCCCACCCACATTCGGGGAATGCTTGAGAGGAGCCAGGCTAAGTGAGGGGGTCAGAGGCTCTCCCCTCTCCCCACGAAATCCTGCCCCCCCCACTTCTGCTCTGCTCCCCACACTCAAGTTCCAGCAGGTGCATTTAATTGGATTTAACTTAAAAGCCTTATTGATGCCTTTGGGTTCGTGGGATGCAGACGCCACTGGGTAATTTGCACGTTTTTGAACAAACCAAATAAAAAGCTGATAAGCATAAACAAGTCCGTTTTAATTGGATTAAAGGAGTCTTGGTTTGGGGACGGGAAACCACAGAGGAGCCGGAGAGGAAGGGCTCTTCGAGATTTCAGATTTTCTGCTTCCTTAGAGCCCCTGTCCCTAGAGCATTCTGCACAGGGCGCTGGCTTCCTGCTGAATAAGTTGTGAGCCGGTATATATGCGTCCGTGTTTTAGACACATGTACATGAGACGGCTGCATCTTCCCGCCACCCCCCACCCTCCGTCCCCACCCGCCAAGCGCAGGGCTGTGGTCTCAGACCAAAGGTCTAAGTCCTGGCCCTGACTCTTTCCTCCTCGACTTGAGCAACTCATTGAATCCTCTAAACCTCAGTTTCCTCCACAGTGAAAGGGGATATTGTTGGCTTCTACCCTGTAGGGTTACTGGGAGAATTACATGCTGTTGATTTGCGCATTGCTTAATAGGCTCACCAAAATGGCAGCCACGAAGAAGAGCTTGAGCCAGTTGGAGTGTTCGCAAGTCCCCGATTTCATGGGAGCCAAAATCGAGCTGGAGTCCCAGCTACGGAAAGAGGCAGCCACCTGTGAATGGTGATGCCTGTTAAGCGGAAGGTCACCCAACCCGACCTGAAGGGCCAGGATGGCTTCCCAGAGGAAGTGAGGCTTGCAGAATGTCTAAGAATTGGCTTGAGCTGCATTTCTCAGGCTTTAGTGTATGTATGTGTGAGTCTCCTGGGGATCTTGTTAAAAATGCAGATTCTGACTCCCAAGGTCCGGGGCGGAGCCTGCGATCTTGCATTTTCTGGAGCTGAGCCTGATTTTGCATTTCCAACCAGCTCTAGGGGATGCCGAGGGGGCTGGTCCAGAGTTGCATGGAGAGTGTTAGTGAGATGATGGAGACAAGATCTGAGGCCAGCCTGCCCCCAAAGCTTGACTATTTAACCGTGTTCTGCCCCCCCAGCACCCAGCAGGAGGGTGGGAAACAGGTACATCCAGCGGTGGAGATGAGTCAGGGAGGCCTGCAGCCTGGGTGGCGAAATTATATCAACAGTTCCTTATTTCGTCCTAAATGTCCATGACCATTTTGCATTTGATGACATGCCATATTTGAGCCTTTTCTTATAGAAAGATAACATTCCCCTCCTTGACTATTTCTCTTCTTCTATATTCCAGTTTGATGCTCCAAGCTGCGACTTTCCATATGGTCCCTCTGGGGAGTGGCGGTCCTTTGTGATCACGGGGCTGGACACAAGTTCACAGGTGCTTTCAGGAACTGAACTGTCTGCCCTGGACCCCATCCTGCCGGAATATGAAGGCATGTGCCCCACGACATGGTGTGGGGGGCACATACGGAATCTTGCCTCAGGAAGGATGGATGTTCTATAGGAAAACCCTGGTACCACCCTCCAATTGCATCAGAGCAGGGCAGGAGGGTGGAGACCAGTCTGTGCAGGCCTCCAGGGCAGGGTCCAGGGCTGGCCTTGCCTTTTCACATCTGTGTGACCACGAAGACATTGCTTACCTCTCAGCATCAGTTCTCTCACCTGTAAAATGGGGCTTGTAACACCACCCCCTCAAAGGGCTGTGATGAGCAAATGTTCGTTTCTTTCTCCCTAGGGCTCAGTTTGCTCAACTGTGAAATGGGCTCGTTGAGCTAGTCCACAGCATGCTTTTATAAATACAGTTTTATTGGCACACGGCCGTGCCCGTTTGCCCATTCATTTGCATCTTGTCAATGGAGGTGAATAGTCATGGCAGAGCTGATGGCTGCACAGCCTCAATATTTGCTGTCTGTTCTACTTTAGGTGAAATGTTTGCTGATTCCTGGGCTAGTCTAGCGAATTGCAAGCTTTTATCAGCTGACATAGGGCACACTTGTGGTTGCCTACCCGTTGCACATTGGGTTTTCAGAGAAGTAGACTCTGAGACGGAGTTTAGTGTGCAGCACGTTTTTAGGGATAGCCTGTAGTGCTGTTAGTGCTACGGCTGTGGAAGGGTGGGGAGGGAAGGGAGACTGGGCAGGAAGAGAAGTCAAGCTGTGATGCAGACTCAGTGACAGCCCCAGCTGACCCCGCAGAAAGACAGAATGGCTCTTTGGGGGTGTCCTAAGTTGGGCTGAGGTGTCCAGGCCTTTCACCTTATCTCATCTCAATCAATCTTTGGATATGGGCTGCACCCAGGCAGCTAAGGCAATCCCCAAAGTGACTGACAGCTGAGGGCAAGGACTTCAGTAAAAGGAGTGGCACATTCCAGAGCCCCCCACGCTAACCCCACAGCCATTGCTGACCTCTTTGTTGTAGGCAGAGCTCTGGATATATTTTAGGTAGCAATGTGGATATATTTTAGGTAGCATATTTTAGGTAGCAATATGATCAGCTCCAAGGGATAAATCCTGACTTCTTGACTCAATGAAGTTCTCATACTTCTCTCTTTCCCCTTTGCCACATATTTACTTTTTCAGTCACTGTTACAGCTAGCATGTGACCTAGTTCTGCCCAATAGGGTATAGGAGAAATCTTCATAGGAGGACTATGGTCCTGAGAGAGAGATTTTGCTTTCTGTCTGAAAGAGACAGGCTTGAAAGGATGATCTGGCTGGCAGCTCTTTTCCCCTTTCTTCCTGACTCAAATATAGGCATTGATGCCTGGGGTTATGGCAGCCATGTTGAGGCTGTGAGGCAAGAAACATGAGTTCAAAAAAATCAACACACTAGGATGACAGAACCAAAATAAATAAACAGAAAAGAAAGATAGGAAGGAAGGAAGGAAGGAAGGAAGGAAGGAAGGAAGGAAGGAAGGAAGGAAGGAAGGAAGGAAGGAAGGGAGGGAGGGTCTGGACTCTTGGTGTCATTGTTGAATCATTGAATTGGGTCTGAAACAGTGCCACTCTTCTTGTTAAGTGAGATATTATTTAAAGCACCATGAGTCAGACATACTATTACTCATTGTCCAGAGCATTCCAAATGGATAGGGATTGTTTTGCCTTATGAAACCCTGCATGGAACCTAATATGTGAGGCTAAAACCAGAGTTGTAGTTAAAGCAAAATTGGAGGCTTAGACCTCCCCTCCTATTCTCCTCTCCCTCTGGGCATCCCCACTCTAGAGCTCTGAGGAATCCTGTTTTCAAATTTAAATGGTGACATATCAGTTGCCTATTGCTGCAATCATGCTGTGTAACAAGCATAACATTTCGGTGCATACAACAATAGGAGTTTCTTGCTCACTTATCTGGGCTGGCTGTCGAGGCAATTCTCTTGATCTTGGCTGGGCTCACTTATACGTCTGGGGATGACTGATCGTTGGCTGATCTATAAGGGGACCCTGCCTGGGCAAGTGGGAAGACTAGGCTTTGCTGCCTAAGTCTCCTACCTTCCAGCAGAGGTGACAGACATGCCACAGAGAAGTCAAGCCTGATCATGCAAGCACTATTCTAGCCTCTGATTATATCATATTTGTTAGCATGCCAGTGACCATAGCAAGTCATATAGACAAACCCAGAGTCAGAGAATGAGAAAGCACTGCAAGGTCACATGGTGAAGGGTACAAGGAGGGGTGAAGAATTAGGAACATTTTTACAATGTAACACATGCGGTCTTTGAGAAGCCTCCTGATTTTTTTTTTTTTTGAGACAGAGTCTCGCTTTGTTGCCCAGGCTAGAGTGAGTGCCATGGCGTCAGCCTAGCTCACAGCAACCTCAAACTCCTGGGCTCAAGCAATCCTTCTGCCTCAGCCTCCCAAGTAGCTGGGACTACAGGCATGCGCCACCATGCCCGGCTAATTTTTTCTATATATGTTAGTTGGCCAAATAATTTCTTTCTATTTATAGTAGAGACGGGGTCTCGCTCTTGCTCAGGCTGGTTTCGAACTCCTGACCTCGAGCAATCCGCCTGCCTCAGCCTCCCAGAGTGCTAGGATTACAGGTGTGAGCCACCGCGCCCGGCCAGCCTCCTGATTTTAAACATATAACCTTGAAAGCACCACCACAGAGACCCCATCTGAAGGAGGTGACTTTTCCCATTTTATTGGTTGGATCACATGGTTTTAGGGGTTAGCTCTAATGGCTTATGCTACAAAAAAATCTGGAGACTCAGACCTTCAGGGCAGCTAGCCATTGATCAAACGTGCCTGTGATTACAAACATGGGTATCTACAGTGGGGATTTTGCTGATCACACCTGTGTCTGTACATTTAAGAATAAGACCAGAAGCATTACATTGGGAGGACCAAGGAGCTTGTGACCCCAAGCCAAATTGTTCAGAGTGTGTGTGTGGGGTGAGGTAACTTGTACATCAGAAACATTAGAGGACTGTCAAACACCCATGAAATCATCCATATTCCACATAGTGGAACTTAAGTCAGAGTTCCACTTGTTCCATGACATGTAAATTTCATCCCAATAAAAAGAAACACAACAAGCATGCTTATATAATTAACTGATGTTGACACATCAATTATGCCATGCTTGAACTTGAACTCTCCTGCCCTCAAGAACTTGTTTATTTATGTGCCCACCCACATATCTATGTGTCACTGAATACACATGGTCTCCACTCTTTTTCAGTTATTTGATTTTCTGGTCATGCTTACATATGGTTTCTTTCCTGGGAGCTTCTACCACTTAAATGTTTTGTCCAAACACAAGTCTACCTTCCGCAGGTTAGTCTTTTAAGGGAACTTCCAGCCTGTATGCATTTGTGTGTCTTATTTTTTTCATGTCATTCCTTCTCTCTTTCTTAACTTGGATTAGAATCCCCAAGAGGGTTGGATTGAAGTCATCAAAGTCTCAAATGAATTTAGTAAAGTCTCAGGATACAAAATCAATACACAGAAATCAGAGGCAACAGTAAAAGTGAGAACCAAATGAAAGACTCAATTCCCTTCAAAATAGCAATAAAGAAAATAAAGTACCTAAGAATATATTTAACTAAGGAGGTGAAAAGACCCCTACAGGGAGAACTATGAAACACTGAATAAGGAAATAGCAGAGGATGTAAACAGGTGGAAGAACATACAATATTCATGAGTTGGCATAACCAACATTGTTAAAATGTCTATACTACCCAAAGTGACCGACAGAGTCAATGCAATCCCTATTAAAATACCATCATCATTTTTCACAGATATAGAAAAAATAATTTTATGCTTCAATGGAACCAGAGGAGATCCCAAATAGCAAAATCAATCCTAGACAATAAAAACAAAATAGGACCTATCGATTTAGCAGACTTCAAACTATACTACAAGGCTATAGTCATTAAAACAGCTTGGGACTGGCACAAGAACATGGACATTGACCAGTGGAACAGAACAGAGAACCCAGATATAAAACCATCCTCATATAGCCATCTAATCTTCGACAAAGCAACAAAAACATACACTGGGGAAAAGAATCCTTATTCAATAAATGGTGCTGGGAAAACTGGATAGCCACATGTAGAAGACTCAAACAAGACCCACAGCTTTCATCTCTCACAAAAATCAACTCATGCTGGGTTACAGACTTGAACCTTAGGTGTGAAACTATTAGAATTCTAGAGGAAAATATTGGAAATACTCTTCTAGACATTGGCCTAGGCAAAGAATTTATGAAGAAGACCCCAAAGGCAAACACAGTATCAACAAAAATAAACAAATGGGAACTGATCAAATTAAAAAGCTTCTGCACAGCCAAAGAAACTGTCAAGAGAGCAAACAGACAACCCACAGAATGAGAGAAAAATTTTGCAAGCTAAATATCCAATAAAGGGCTGATAACTAGAATCTATTTAGAACTGAGGAAAATCAGCAAGGAAAAATCAAACAACCCTATCAAAAAATGGGCAAAGGACATGAACAGAAATTTTTCAAAAGAAGATAGAATAAAGGCCAACAAACATATGAAAAAATGCTCAACATCTCTAATTATCAGGGAAATGCAAATCAAAACTCCAATGAGATATTGCTTATCTCCACCAAGAATGGACTTTATCAAAAAGTCCCCAAACAATAAATGTTGGCGTGGATACAGAGACATTCCTACACCGCTTGTGGGACTGCAAACTGGTTCAGCCTCTGTGGAAAGCAATACGGAGATACCTTAAAGTGATACAAGTGGATCTACCATTTGATCCAGCAATTCCACTACTGGGCATCTACCCAAAAGATCAAATGACACTCTACAAATGGGACACTGCACTCAAATGTTTATAGCAGCACAGTTCACAAAGGTGTGGAAACAACCCAGGTGCCCATCAATACATGAATGGATTAATAAAATGTGGTATATGTATACCATGGAGTACTACTTAGCTTTAAGAAACAATGGTGATATAGCACCTCTTGTATTTTCCTGATTAGAGCTGGAACCCATTCTACTAAGTGAAGTATCTCAAGAATGGAAAAACAAGCACCCCATGTACTCACCAGCAAACTGGTATTAACGGAACAACACTTAAATGGACATATAGGAATAACATTTATTGGGTGTTGGGCAGATGGGAGGGAGGAGGGGGGATGGGCAATATATGTAACCTTAACATTTGTATCCCCATAATATGCTGAAAAAAAACTGCAATGAGATATCACTTATCTCCAGTAATAATGGCCTTTATCAAAAAGACCCCAAACAATAAATGTTGGCATGGATGCAGAGAGATAGGAACACTCCTATCCTGCTGGTGGGACTGCAAACTAGTTCAACCTCTGTGGAAAGCAATATGGAGATACCTTAAAGCGATACAAGTAGATCTATCATTTGATACAGCAATTCCATTACTGGTAATATACCCAAAAGATCAAATGACACTACAAAAAAAGACACCTGCACTCGAATGTTTATAGCAGCACAATTCACAATTGCAAAGTTGTGGAAACAACCCAAGTGCCCATCAATACATAAGTGGATTAATAAAATGTGGTATGTATACCATGGAGTACTACTCAGCTTTAAGAAACAATGGTGATATAGCACCTCTTGTATTTTCATGGATAGAGCTGGAACCCATTCTACTAAGAAAAACAAGCACTACATGTACTCACCAGAAAATTGGTATTAATGGATCAACACCTAAGTGGACATATGGGAATAACATTTATCCGGTGTCGGGCGGGTGGGAGTGGGGAGGAGGGGATGGGTATATACCAACATAATGAGTGAGATGTGCAACGTCTGGGGAATGGTCACAATTGAAGCTCTGACTCTAGCGGGGAGGGGGACATGGGCAATATATGTAACCTTAACATTTGTACTCCCATAATATGCTGAAAAAAAAAAAAAGAAACAATGATGTCTCCACAATGATATTTCAGAACCATGGACAGAGCCATCAACACTGTAGCTGTGTCATGCCTGTTACACGGCCGGTGGAGGGCAAATATGTTGCTTAATTTTCCTCTCTGTAACGTACCATTTCAGCAAAAAAATGGCTACGTGGTTAAAAGCTGGAGTGTGGGGTTAGAATTCCTGAGAGTAACTCCAGCCCCTTTCACTACTGGCTGTTTGACTCAGCCTGTTTCCTCATCTGCAAAATAAGAATAATAATAATAATAGTCTATATATATATATAATATATATATATATATATAGTAATAATGCCTAAATCTTAGAGTTTTCAGGATTAAATGGTGTGGCAGGTTGAATTACTGGCTCTATTTCTTTATCTCTCTTGGTTCCATGCCATGTAACTTGGCAGTTCATTCTGCTAGACTTGAAGTGAACTTCTCTACTCCTTGACTTTGGGCTTGGCCGTGTGACTTGGTTAGCTTATGGGATGTCAGCAGAGGTG